CAGGATACACGGACCGAAGCGGAGATTGTATTTCCCGGAGTTTTTCAGGGCTCGGTGGCGGGTTGGCGGGGGGGGGGGACGAGGGGGAGCCACACGGGCATCATGAGGAGAGCTAAAGTTGATGAACAGGAGAAGAGAGATGGTTAAGCTTTCAGCCCACGCATCTACAGAGCAGCTCCTCACCGAGACTTCCTATCAGGTACAGAGGGGATCGATGTTTATGGTGACGCGCAAAGAGGCGCACACACACACACACACACGCGCGCGCGCGAAGAGATTTGTTGCATGTTGCTTCTGAAGTCACTTTCATTACGCTTCTATCCTCTTTCTCCATCTATCACACACACACACACACACACACACACACACACACACACACACACACACACACACACACACACACACACAGTAGTAGTGCTGGATGCTGTATCTGTGTCTCTCCTGCAGACTGGCTGTAGCTGAGGTGAAGGTGCAGCTGTAGCCAGAGGAGCTGAATTCCTACAAGGCTCCGGAGATGCCGCCCCCCAAGGGGCTGCTGCTCTGTCTCGGCATTCTGTTGGTGACTGTTGGGGGGGTCATGGTCATGGTACTGGGAATGCCCAATCAGTCTTCCCCAATGGTTATAATCGGTGTGTTCCTGGGTCTTATGGGCATAGCCCTGCTGGTCATTGGACTCTGCATGGCCATGAAGAATCTCCAGGTGGCAGTGCCCGGACACTTCCTGCTGCACCCCCGCACAGGCACACGCTTCAGCCCTCAGCAGGCCCTGGCCATACAAAGGTACATGTGCACTCTATAACATAAGAAACGTAGACAATGCTTCAGACACAGTTATTCACAGTTCATTATTTTATCATTATTATTATTATTATTATTAATGTTAACCAAAAAGTGTGTGGGATAACTTGTAGCAGTGGTTCCCAACCTGGCATCGGGGCCCCTCAGTGGTGTCACAGGATGGAATGTAAAGGACATTCTTCTGCTGCAGGACTTTATTAACTTATTGACTTTTTAACTTTTGTCTGATCTTATGAAACACTGGACACATTTCAAGTGAAGTATGCAACGTGAGAAAACATAATTTCAGTGGCTCACAAGTCAACAAGACTGAGTCTATACAGCCCTGCCAGCTTTGAGCTAAATGCTAATAGTAACAGTGCTAACATGCTGATGGTTCGTAGGTGTGTTTAAAACGTTCGCCAATTTAGTTCTTTGTGTTAGCATGCTAACGCTTGCTAATTAGCACTTAACACAAAGTGCAGCTGACACTGATGGGAATGACATGAGTGTTTACAGGTGTTTGTTGGGCGAATTAAAAGATATAAAAATAAGATATTACAATGAGGGGGGCATGAAAAAGGCTGGAAACCCCTGTCACAGAGGACACCCCCTTTTTATTGTTAACAAAACAACCCTGCCTACTTTTAAACATTCGAAAGCAATAACCTCTCAGGCCTCCCTGGTGTTGTTCAAGTTAAATAAACATGAATACAGACAAATGCCAGAGCACGCCATCCTGGGAGATGACCTGACCAACGCTGCTGTTGTTGAACAGATCTCTTGGACACATCATCATTTATTAGTTCGAGTGCAAAGTTTGGCAAAGAGCAGCCTGAAAACACTGTGACACTAAGAATGGGAAAGCAACAGATTTTCTGATTATGGATTGATTATAGAAGTAGGTCATGGAGAAAACAGCTGACACACATGCATGTGGCTGACAGACTCCCCCTGGCATTGTCTGAGGCAATCTACGATAGCCTGTGAATTTAAACAAGACGTGCTCTGCTCATTGTCCAGCCCTGTGGTAGAGAGGCGCCAGGAGCACTGTTTCCATCATCAAAGCTTTTCCTACCTCCACACGCTGAGCAAGAACCATCAGGATTTCTAAACCTGGTCTCACAGCCAAACCTCATCTTTTAAATCTGCAAACACTTTAAATGTTTGTTTTGGGGATTCGAATGATGATCAAAATCACCACCAAGAGAATAAAGTTTGCAAACAGGATTTTCTGAGAGAGTAAGAGCAGCTGAAGGAGCGAGGACTTCAGCAAGAGGAAGTGTTTAGAAATAAAGGAAGGACTGAAGAAATGAGAAAGCACCAAAGTGAGCTGAAGTTTAACCTTAAGAGGTCTCAGGGCATTTTATCGACTTTTTAAAAAAAAAATTCTTAAATTTACCTTTTAAGGTTCTTGCATACAACATAATACCGAAGTGTTTTATGTTGCAGTTCTCAGAACAATCTCAGCTCCTTTTTGTCATAAAGAGATCATTTGGCCCAAATGCTGAAAAAATTGAAGCTTGGATTTTGGATGATAGCAAAGTCTGTAGGTTCATTAAATTAGTGCAACATGTGAGTAAAATAGTAGATAAATGCCTAAAATGAACATCGCTGAGTCGTAGTGTCGTCTTGTCTCTACTTTAACCAAATTTTAGAGGCTCTGAGTCACGTACGATCTCATAAGAATATACAAAGCAAAGTGGAGAGTCTACAGATTCTAACAACATTCAAACCATATTTCTACGCTGTCATCACAAAGATATTAATAGAAACATTGATCGACCTCAGAGGGTTAAGGAGCCTGATAATCAGACTTAATATCCATTTTGTTTCACATGGATCACAGAAATATTGTTATTTCTCTATGTGGAGAAATAAACAGCTGTGTCTCATAAACACTTGTCTCCATTAGTCGATTGATATCTTTCATAAATATAGCTAGCTACCTAGCTACTGTATATTTATGACAGTTGTCATTGGGCACGATACTTTATTTAAATCACTGAACAAATCTTAGACATAAGCAACAAAACAAATGTCCGGAACTGACCTGTAAGAACAGAGGGATAGAACTTTCAATTGTGTAAGCACCGAAAGGAGCGGAGGTGTAAGATAAACTTTACTTCAGTTAACTATCAGCAGAAGGGTAAGTGCTGAAAGGAGTTGAAACATATTTACTGAAAGGAGTTCAGGTGTAAGATACACTGTAATCACAGACAGGAGTTGACTGTCAGTTGAAGCGTAAGCACTGAAAGGAGTTGGTGTTTTAGTCACTGAGAGGGGCCGACAATCAGCAGAAGTTTTAGTGCTCAAAGGCGTTGAGGTGTCAGATAAAGTGCAATCACTAAAAGGAGGTAAGTATCAATTCAAGGGCAAGTGTAAAAGTAGTTGATGTATTAGCTGAATTGAAATCGTTGAAAGAAGTTTTCAGTCAGTTAAAGTGTAAGTCCTGAAAGGAGTTGAAGGGTAAGTTTAAGTGTAATTGTAGTTTAAGGGTAAGCACGAAAAGTCCTCCTGAAAGGAGACATGCCATTAGTACTAAAAGTAGGTGAAGTTAAAGTGTAAACACAGAAAGCAGTTGCAGTGTTAGGTGAAATGCAATCATTGAAAATTAGTATAAGTATTTAGTTACTGAAAGATGAAGTGTAAGCGTAATTACTGAAAGGTATTGAAGTGTAAGTGTAATCCCTGAAATGTGTCGAAGTGTAAGTGTCATCACTGAAAGGTGATGATGTGTAAGTGTAATCACTGAAAGATGTTGTAGTGTAAGTGTTATTACTGAAAGGCATTGAAGTGTAAGTAGAATCACTGAAAAGTATTGAAGTATTTTTCGCTTCCGCAAAGAGGCGCATAGTGTAAGTGTTATTACTGAAAGGCATTGAAGTGTAAGTAGAATCACTGAAAAGTATTGAAGTGTAAGTGTAATCACTGAAAGGTGTTGAAGTGTTGAAGTATCACTGAAAGGTGTTGAAGTGTAAAGTGTACAAAACTGTACTAAACTTGTAGTAACTGCTTCTCTCGCTTGCTCTCTTCAGGAGGTTGGACCGAATTCGTCGGGAGATGTCAGCTGACTCTGTCAGCCAGACACCAGAGCCTGAACCCTCCCTCCCATCCACTCCCCCCCCCTGGACTATGGAGCCGCCTCCATCCTATGACACAGTGATGAAAAGCCAGGAGCACAGCGAGCAGCTTTAACTTCTGGTGGACATCTTTACTTTGCGTCAGTGCCTTTTGTCTTCGGTTCCCAGCGAGAACCTTTAGGAACAGTCGGTGCTATCGGTGAACTCGCTACAACGGGCCTCTTGTGTGCCTTAAGACAGCCACCCTGACCCCAAACACAAGCCAAGGAGCAGGAAGAGGCTGCAGCTGGTTAAAGACTTACAGACTGAGCCCCAGCGTGGCCTCGGTGCCTGCTACATGTGTGTTGTGACTCATTTTGAAAGGAATTGAAATGATCACTGCAACGGCTTCACTCTCTGCACTAAAGGCCTTCCCTGAGGCCAGCGTTATGTCACAAACTGAAGGGAGTCATGTCATCAGATTGGCTGTGAGCCTCCTGTAGACACTCAATTAGGATATTTTATTGGCCTGCTTGAATTTATGTGACCTACTACTGTGGCTGCACAGAGAATTTTCCTCCTGGCTCCTCTTTGTATCTGCACACTTTCCTCATAACTTTGCACAACAATCATCGACAGCTTACTCCAATGCAAAGTGCCTTAACTAGTGACAGCAGAATGTTGACAGTGCAGTGTTATTCATCTTTCAGCTTTGTATCCAGCATTTGCAGAGTGTCCACTGTTGGTTCTGTGTTGTGATGTTCCTATAAACTTGAGTTAATAAATAGCTGCAGAGCTCTCTGTGGGTGTTATTGCTCTTAGAAATAATAGATTGTTTATTTAAAGGAGGGAAGCCCCGGAAAGGCGGAGAAGGGAAATGCCGACTTGTTTAAAATCATGTCCAAACCAAGCAAACATAAACACTCTCTCAACTCGACGCTGCTCAGTAGCTGAGTTGCGAATCTCCTTTTTGCCAGCAGCTCGAGGCAAGGTGACCTCTCAGGAACTGACACACCTGCAATTTTATACCTGAGCTAACCAGGCTGTCTGCAGGCTGTAATGAGCAGCAGAGTGGAACCCTGACTGCGTTTCCTCCACCCTCACCTTCAAGCCGTCACACACAACAACACCAAATCTGTTCTCTCAATGCTTCAGTTTCAAGTCCACACAAATAAGACCTACATCAGCCAGCAGTGGTTGCAGCCATGGTGGAGGGGAAACCGTATCGGTGCGGGCTGATAGCGGCGGGGCTGTGCGTGGCAGCAGTCGGCCTCTTCATCATGACTCAGGAGCGGCCGCACGTCTACGCCACAATGTGCGTTCTGGGTGTCAGCATGGTGTGTGTCGGGACTGTGTGGAGCCTGTGCCAGTGCTACCCCAAGGTAGATACAGAGTGTGTGTTAGAAGAGAAGACAGGATCAGAGCAGCAGATAAACTTGTATATGAAGGTTATTGTGCATTTTGTGACTAAAGCAGGAAACTTTCTCTGTGTTTCTATGAACCAGGAAGTTTATTTTCAGACATGGAGGCGTCTCAGATGTGACCTCTGGGACAGGGCGGAGCCTCCCGGAGTAATGAGTGTGGTCCAGACCAAAATAGCATGTTAGCTTCTGATAAGAGTTCGCTAATGTGCTAGCTAGTCATGTGATTCCATGGAACACACAGCGGAGGATGTCAATGTTTTTAACAAACTATAGCTACCTTAACACCTGGGAATGGGGGGGTCTGCCGCCCCCCTGCAAAATTAGTGCTCTAAGCAAAATTACGTCACATGGCCACAGCAGCAAATAATCATCTTTATGCAATTTTTTCAAAGACATACATGATTATAATGGAGGGATGAAATGCTGAGGTCAGTGACCTCTCAAGGTCACCAGAGGTCAGATATAAATCGCCTCCATGTCTGAACTAAAACCTTGGGGTGTTTATGGGATATCGTTCTGCCGATCTGCCCCACTGAAAATAATAAGTAATAACTGCAGGAATGGATTTGTTAATGGAGAGTGTGTTTTTGTTGTTAGCTCACTTTGGCTGCTCAGACTCAGGAGAAGAGTCAAGAGGATCTGGTGTGTGCTTCAGCGGATGCACTCGATGAACGGTACTGACACACACACACACACACACACATTCACAAACACACACTCCGTCTTAATGGCCCACGGACAAACGGGTGGTCATTAAGGCCTTAATTATCTGCTGTGGTCTGTCTGTGGTGTATCTCAGCAGAGGGGGGGGCGGAGGGGTCTGTACTAATACACAGTAGATACTGATTTTATTATCTTTACAGGAAGAGAATGGTGATGTAATGGCAGCAGAGGAATGAGGTAAATGAGGGTGATGAGAAGTGGTGTAGAACAATGAAGCTGGAAAGGGCAAATTACTTGGAAACATCAGGGCAGATTCAACAAGGACCATTAATGTCCCTTTGATTAAAGCACTTAAGCCTCAGTCAGTGAAGTGGCCGCTGGTTGAAACAGGAGGTTTGACCACGCGGCTCCTGCAATGTGAGTGTTTGTAATTACACAAGTGTTCCGCCGCCAGATAAAGACGTGCATGCTCAGCAAAACCCTGCCAGATTAAAAAAAAAAAAAAAAGAAAGTAAGAAAATGAGGACAAAATGTTGGAACTAGAGTTCTATTTCTGTCCCCCCCCCCTGCTCCAATTCTTTTGATTTAATTTTAGGCACCCCGAGGCTCTGCCAGGTTTCTGTGGCCAAAAGTCGCGTAGCAGCAGCAGACTTCTCCCCGAGGCCCTGAAGAGCCAGAGTCACAGCTGTCCCACGCTGCACCTGGTCTGAGGCTCTGCAGGGGACCAGGCTGCGCTCAGGGACGGGGACGCGAGATCTCTCATGAGTTTTTATGACCCGTCACTGAAGGACAACATCACTCACACTTCATGCTGATAGAGTTTGTACAAATATGAGAAGTGACTGATGCTAAATCAACAGTTTCTGTGTCACTGTGAAGTGTTTAAAGGTTCCCCTGAGGCATAAAAATACTTTTCTTTGAATAATAATTTGTCTTGTATGATATTTCAGCAAAAAAAAAAGTTTAATGAACTACTTTTAAATGATTCAAAGTTCAGTATATCTGCTCCTTCTCCCTCACTGAAGAATTCACAATCTATAAATGTGCAAATGTCTTTCATTTAAAAAGTTTAACTGTTTCACACACGACGCCTCGTCCTCGGTGTGGTGAGTGTCACACTGATGCTTATGATTGAAGAAGATGTCTTAAAGTCAGATGTTGGTTGAACTCTGACAAACCAGCAGCTGAATGTGAAAACAAACTCTTCACACACTGGTCAAGGGGGGGGGGGGTAAATAAAGTTGCATGGTAGTTCCAGAAGATGGCACTGTTTATTATATGAAAGAGGAAGAGAGAGACACACACACACACACACACACACACACACAAATGAAGAACCTTCACCTCCACTGAGGCACATGTAATAGTCTCTAACAACTGAGTGTTGCACTTTCGTAAAATCAGGGGAGTTGTAAAAGTCAAAGCCAAAAAATGCCTACAATTCCCACAATACAACTCAGCAGCATCTTCCATTACAACCCTCCCTGCCTGGTAAAGGCCCATGTCTTTCAAACTTGATGCCACCAGCGTAACTCAGGAGTCTCACACACATCAGCAGCAGAACGGTCCATATATATATATAATCTATATAATATATAATCTATATAATATATAATCTATATAAATAAAAACCGACTTGACTTGAAGAGCAAAAAGGCAACATGAAGTATTCCGACACAGAATCACATTCATTTTCTACCCTGATGATGCCTCTATAGAATATAATAGAATATATGCCTCTATGTTCAAGTCTCAAGTCCTCCAGTCCGCCATTCCTCTCTCCAGTAAGGAGCTGGGATCTCATTGGATCTCATTGGATCTAATTAGATCTCATTGGATCTAATTAGATCTCATTGGATCTCATTGGATGTTGGTCACAGAGGTCAGATATGAGATATGAGGCTTCAGCTTCAGCTGCCACACTCTCTGTACTGTCTTCGCTCTCTGCAGTGTTGCACGTGCACCAGCCATCATCACAAGTCATCGGGCTCGACCCAAGATAACCCCGATGACGTCATCAGAGTTATTTTTCTCAGACTTGACGAAGCTGGTCCAGAGTCACAGAGGACATGATGTGTCTGTTGTCCCCGGCCGAGTGGGACTCCTTATGATGAGAGAACGAATCCTAGAGTTTAATTCTAACTTTATGATACACACACTTCATAGTTTGAAATGAATTGAGAGAGAGAGAGAGAGAGAGAGAGGGAGAGAGGGAGAGAGAGAGGGATGGAGAGAGAGAAACAGAGAGAGAGAGGGAGAGAGGGAGAGAAAGAGGGAGGGAGAGAGAGAGAGAGAGAGAGAGAGGGAGAGAAAGAGGGGGGGAGAGAGAGAGAGAG